TCCTCTGGGAACAGGGGAAATTCTATTAGGCCCATAATAGAGCCATTTTTCACCTCCTTCCACATCAGTCTATTATACAATTCCTCCTCCAGTCCTTTCCTTTCTGTCTTTACTCTCTATAAACAATACAGCATCTCCTTTCTTTAGAGTTCCCTGGAAACCCCTTCTCTTTTCTCTGAACTCTACTCCTGTCAATTTGCTCATCAATCTCACTGAAAAGTCCATCTCTGAATATTAATATTTGTTGTGTTTGGAAATCCATTAAAAAGGCATCAAGTACAATCAGCTCCTGTTAACTTTTTCTGAGGTCAAACAGAACTTTGTTGACTGAGAGGCTGTAAAATGTCTGCGGCCTTGAAGCAGGTGATAAATCTTAAAAGCGGGAACACGCGTTAACTTTAATTGTCCACAGTCATTCCACGTTCATTTAATCATAAAGCCCAGCTGAAAGTGACAAAATAACGAGCACTAACACAATCCAAAGTCTTTCAGAAACTCTTAACTGGGGAGGTATTCTTTGAAGCGGCTTTGTGGCGAATTGAAAGGGGTTTATTTGTTCGTCACGTAAATTCGTGGAAAACATAGTTAAAACATTACGGGTTTAATCCCGTTTTGTGTAAGGCCACATATGCTCAACGTTTTTATTTGTGCCACACTGAGCTGTGCCATTAGAAACTGGTTTGAAAGAGGAAATCTGTCTATTGGTCGCTGTAACAAAAAACCATCAGCCACAGGCAGAGCGCATTGTTCAGAGAGCTGACTAGCCTAATCAGACATTCATGTGAATATTTTGTACGTTTCCTCCCTTTGGTTCATTTGTTAATGCTTTCTGACAAGTGAGTCACTGAACCAACAGAGCCTTCATGTCACAATGGAAAAATGATCTGCAGCGCAGTAACAATTGCAACGTGGCACCTGAGTTCTGGACCTACAGGTGCAGGTGCCCTGGTTTATTGATGGCAATACTGTACACTATCTGCACATTTCAATGAAGAATGACTTTAATACTTTCAACTACTAAATGTAAAATTCCACAGATTTTTAACACTGTTTAAAAGTAATCTTATTATGAAGATACCGTGAGTGCTGTAGAACAGAAACCAGTCTGTGGAAGCTTTCCAAATATTTTTCAAGTGCCTTTTTATAGATTGTTTAGATAGATTTTGTTTGATAACGCACAGTGTTTTCTTTATGTTGGACAATATTGCTGAAATTGTTACCTGCCATTATTGCTCTTAAGGATTCTGAGTACATCAACCATTTTAGGGATTTTACTGCAGCTTTGTGCCATCATTCCTTACATGCACGTGTGTCACAGGTTACACACAATGGACGTTTTTTGCATAGGGGCAGATCTGACCAGTAAAGATTTCAGTAGTTTTCAAGTTTTTGCTGTTTAGCTGTCACTGGAGGAGATAACTTGAGAAGGAAAGATAGCATAGCTCTCTATAAGATGTCTTGTATCAACTGTGTGTCATACACTTGTGAGGGTTTAAGCACATTTAAACTGTTAGCAGTCGGACGTACCGCCCACGGGACATTGGATGGTTTAGGGGACTAATAGGACTGCTAAAAGGTTGATATTTCAGCAGTATTTATGGCATAAAGACAACGTCCAGATTCCAGCTGTAAAAACTCCAGATTTTCCTTTTTTGTTGGTCCTTAAATTCTTGTTCTGTCAAACAAAGAAGAAGACTTGATCAGGATTTTATTCAGACTGTTACAGTTTTGTAATGCAGAAACACGACAAACATAAAAGAACTGGTCATGGCTTCAGTTGGCACAGTTTGAGAGAGGTTCACAGTTAGCCTTGCAGCCACCAAAGATAGCTTGGGACACATTTGGGACACTATCACAATATTAGGACGATCATCTTATAATGTGAGACCTAAATGTAAGTAAACAATGAGAATGCTGCACGAAATGATGGGAAAAAACCCCCTAAAAAGCCCAGACAAAATAAAAAAAAGGGATAATGTGCAGAAATACATGGAAGAAGAAAAAGAAAAAGTAGAAAAAAAGTTTTATTTTTATTTTTATTTTTAAGTCGGCTGTGTTTGTATGATAACTTTTTCAGCTAATTTCATTGTAGCACCAAGGAGCACAGATAGGTATTACAACAGAACAACATAACCCATATTTCAGGTAAGGTTACATACATGCATACATACGTGCTGAAATATTACAGTCTGCAGGGCCATTAAAGCAAATTATTGAATTGGAGAAATTACATGAGGTCCAAGGTTTTCCATAGACTTCTATAGAATGGGAAGTACCGACATGTATCGCCCCCCGTTGGTCATTATAAGGTAACGATAGATAATTACTATGTGATTCTTGCATCTGTAAGAAAGAAAATGAATGCAACAAAATTAGCACACATTATATCTTTTTGGCCAAAACCTGCTAACCAAGTGGTATGAAACTACAGGAAACTGGATTCAGCTCTGTGAAATCTGATTCGTCCTCAGAATAGCCAATGACAAGCAGCGATGTCCTACACTTCATATAATACACAAGCTTCAGTTTCATTCCAAGCCAGCCGTGTCTGCGGTGAATGCAGGTATAGAGTGATGGTCATGATGTCACATTGATATGGTTTCTAAATAAAGGAGTGATGTAACATTGCACTGTGGATGTGGGGGGAAAAGGCACAGGAACAGATTATTGTACTCCAAAAGATAATACAGATCTCTAGTATAACATAGACCTTTCTCACATTTATCTAGACATCCCAGAAAGAGAAACAGCCTGTGGGTTTTGGTACTTCATCCCTGTGCTTAAATCGCATGAAGATATTGATACTAACCTTAATAGAAACTAGCAAATCGAGAAAACTACTGTACAAAAACCAACAAAAGTTAAAATATGAACAAAAGCAAAAGAGACGTTGATTCCACAATATTCAAATTATGTCAAATCAGTCATTTGTACTAAATGATTTGTAACTAATGAGTTTTGAATGCATCCTTTGAAACAACACAGTGTCTAAAAAACAAAGATAGTACTTAGTATAACCTTAAATATTGAGGAATCTCACAAATATAGTTTTCTTTCCAGTAGATTCTTTAGGTATGTTCATGATCTGAGATGACAGGCAGGAGCCCATTCGGCCAACAACAGTTTAGTGCTGACCTGGGGCAGAATATGTTGCAGCTTGTCTGTGTGTGATGTTTGCAGTCTACACTGAGAAACTTTGAATTGTGGGTGAAGCCTGAAGTCAAAGTGTAAACACCTGAGTGACATTTTATAAGCTTAGTTAAGCATGTACACAGAGAGACAAAGATGAGAATGACTGAAATACCAAAATACAGGAAACAAGGGTCTTTGAACGCCGCAATCAATCCTGCTGGATTTAGGGGGTATCTGATGTTTGAAAGCTCTTCATTCAGATTTAACTTACATCATCAACTCCAACCAGTTGCACAATAGCAGAACGTTGCTAAAAATGTTTGAGGGCCCATCTTGCCACACCTGCGGACACCTAGCATTGAATGTTTCCGAAATCTCATTCATTCTGAAACATTCCTCTGGGAAAACACAGCTGTCAGAACTATAGACAAACTCAGTCCATGTTTTCCAAAACAAAGTCTTTGAACAGAACATGTTTTTGAATCTTTGTTCACTGGATCAAAGTTAACAAATACAGTCATATGAAAATGAAAGTTTCACAGGACTGCAGAGAGTCCTGTGGAAAACCAAGTCCACGCCATGATTCATTAGTTTGTGGAACCACCTCGAGCAGCCATAACTAAAAAGAAAAGTTATTCTCCTTGCCAGTCTCTCACATCATTGTGGCAGAATTTTGGACCACTCTTCTTTACTATTTTGCCTCAGTTCATTGAGATTTATTCATGCAAAGTCTAAGATCATTGTCCTGTTGCACAACTGCTGTCAGCCATGCTTCAGCTGTCTGACAGATGGTCTACAATGGAGTTCATGGTCAACTCAGAGAGTACAAGGTGTCCAAGTCATGTGGCTGCAAAACAAGCCCAAATCATCACCCCCACCACTACTGTGCTTGTATTTTGGTTAGTGCTGTCAGCGTTAATCTCGTTAAAATGACGTTAACGCCAGAACTGCATTGACGCGGCAAATCTCCGTTAGCGAGTTAACTCAGATCACCCCGTGTGTGGGGCTGCACGGCGTCTACGCGTAGATTTGCTGCATTAATGCGGTTATGGCGTTAACGCCATTTTGTTAAATGTGGCACTGTTGATTATGGCCAAACATGGCCTTTTTTCATTTTTCTTGGCAACCAGAAAAGTCATACTTGTTCCGTGTTTCTCTAATTCTACTTTAACTTTATGAAGTTTCTAATTTAACATAATTTATTAAGTTGATCATTTAACATACTAACTAAGGCCTATAGTGTCTGGTGTTTGGGATTTTTGCAGTGTACCTGAGCACACACAGTCTGACCTTGGGATGAATTTGCTGGCACGTCTACTTCTGAATAGATTGTTGCATTGTGTTAACACACACCTGAATCCTCCAGACCAGCAAACAGCCACAACCTCTGCTTTTACAGTGGTGCTCACTCTTGCAGATGATCATTTAATCAAGTGCATTTCATTAGCAGCACCTGGCTGCCCCTTACCATTTAACTGCTGTGGAAAGACACTGCACAGAGTTCTGTGTAAAATGTTCTTTTTCCCTTGACTGCACAACAGACGTGAGCTACAGGGAAATTTTCGGCCATTTTTCACTGGACACCTTTTAGCAGTCCCAGTTTAAAGTTACTAGTGTTGAACTCCTATTTATCAAATGCTGTGTTACAAGTTCTAGAGCTGTATATTTGTACATTTAAGCCATCATCTAAATGGTAATGGGATGAAATAGAATAGTATAGTAAACACATCTGTTAGCCACAAGGCATTGAGAAGACTGTGAGGGAAGAAGCAGCCCTATCTCATCTTTTATTGGTTTGATTTTAACGTTAGATATAGACACTTTTTTTTCTTCAAAATAATAGATCTGAATTCACTTGTAGTTAACTTTTAATAATATGTAACTTTTTGAGTAGTAAGTAGGAAGTAGTGGAGCCAGTTTTCAAGGTGCAAAGCATACAAGCCAATCCAAATGGCGTTCCAGGACATGTCAGCGATTCCCAGGCTCTGATTCCTGAAGGCCAGGTCCTGGAAGCTCGGCAGGTCCGGCGTTTTGGATAACGTCTGAGTGTAGTCCGATATTGCTCGAGTGACGGGGTCTCGCACCACCTCTATGAGCTTGGTGTCTTGGGACATGGTAGAAATCCGGTGTGGTGTCTCTTTTGTCACAAAGTAGCTCGGTGTCTTCTCCATTGTGATTTGGCTTTCAAGAGTTCTTGGCATTAAACCTCTGAATGAAAGATGAAAACACAGAATAGACGTTTCTCATTTACATTCATGTCTTTTTGTTTTTTTTTAATGGACACTTTCTCAGTGTCCATTAAAAATTATATTGAAATAATGTTGTTAAAGCCTTAAAAGAATGTTAAGACATCCTCTCCTCCATATCATAGTTTGATAATCAGGATGCTGATACAAATTTATATAGATTTACAGAGGACTGTGACAAAAAAATGACATAATAAAAATGCAGAGACATTTGTTTACCCTCTGGGCTTTTCTCTTGTTCAGTACGAGCTGTGACCTTTTCAGCTGAGTTTAACCAAGAGGGTCATTGCGTCTGTCTGGCACACAAAACAGCAGATACACTGGCTTTCAGGCCCATTCCTCTCAATCCCATTCTCCGCTTTCCATTCCAGAGTTCTACAGAGGCAGCAGTTGAGTGTCAAGTTCATCTGCAGTATCAGCTGTCTTGAATTGGAGTCAGATCAAAGTGGGACGGTGAAAAGAGTGAGATCCACACCTTATCTCCCAAACATACAATGCAGCTAAGGAGCAAACCTCTCTCTCCTGGGAGTTGTAATGGGAGCGGGAGTTTACCCCCGTGTGCCGCAGCCATTTGGGCCCATCCAATGGCACTACAGGAGAGGACAGCATGCAGTGAGGGCAAAGGCAACCAATCACTAATCCTGGCAGCAGGGTCACATGCATGACTTTAAGTGACCTCAAAACTCTGAATCTTTGCATGCATATGTTCTGTCTTATCCAAATACATGGACTGATTAATTGCACCACACCTTAAAAGAACTGCATTCACTCAGTCTTTGTCAGTGTCAGACTGGTGTTCTTATCAAGTCTACAATGGAGAACTGCCCCCACCCCCCGAAACCTAGAGCAAATCGAATTTGGACCGATCCGCTGCCCAATTTATCTCAAATCCTCGCTGATGCAGATCTAATTTCATCCTCTTAGTACCACAAACAGGAAGAAGAAGCAAGTCGATAAACAGCCCATGGCCACTGTTGGAGGGAGTGAAGTGTGTTGGAGTGGGGCGAGACGGAGTAAAGCAAACATGGTGACACAGTGGAAAAAGAAAGCAGGAGCATTGTCATTATCCTTCACCAAGTCCATCACTCACTCCATGAGCTTCTGGCCTAATTCCTGCTGTAAACTTAATTATCAGAGTATGTAGGCAAATTAGCTAAAAGCATTTTAAATAAATGGAAAATGTCCAGAAAACTGTATATAATGTGTTTAAATGACTTGAAATTTTGAAAGAGTATTTTAATTTTTAACACCACACACATATTCTTAAAGTTAAATTGACTGCGATTAACTGTTTTTACATTTAGATATATTTCAATATTTTACACCTATTAAAACCTATTCACCTATTAAACCTAATTAAGGTTTTTAATGAATTTTTTTTTATGACAAATCAGAAAGATTTCATTGCCTAGGAACAATTTGATTTATGGTGAGAGAATGATAAACTTTAAATATTTACACATATGGAAACCTAATTTATATACATTTGAAAGACGTAGAAATACATATAAAAATGTTCTCTCTTTTTAGTTCCTGTCAGTATTCTTGCTGCAGCATTTCAGATCAGCTCAAGGCTTTTCAGGGAGCTTTCAGGACAGCCTGAAAATAACGAATTATCATAGTCCAGCCTAGAAGTAATAAATGCATGAACTAGTTTTTCGCCGTGATTCTGAGACAGGATGTTTCTAATTTTAGAGAATTTTTTGAGATAAAAGAAAGTAGTCTTTTCTATTTCTTAAATTTTTGTATTGAAGGACATATTCTGGTCAAAAACAACTCCAGGATTCCACACAGTGTTACCTGTGTCATACCATCCATCGGGCTAGATAACATATTTGTAAGATCTTTGTGGCTGATTACAATAACATCAGTTTTATCTGAATTTAGAAGTAGAAAATTAGAAGTGATGTGGGTCTTTATGCCTTTAGGATGTTCCTGCAGTTTAGCTAATTGGTGTGTGTTATCTGGCTTCATGGATAGATAAAGTTAGGTATCATCTGCATAGCAGTGAAAATGTATGCTATGCCTTCTAATGATACTGCCTAGGGAAGCATGTATAATGTAAACAGAACTGGCCCTAGTACATAACCATGTGGGACTCCATAATTAATCTTCATCTCCATAATTAATGTGTGAAGAGAACTCTCCATTTACATGAACAAATTGGAGACTAATAGGTAGATATGATTCAAACCACTGTAGTGCGATACCTGTAATACCTACAGCATGCACTAATCGCTTTAATAATCGCTGTAATAAAATAAAATGGTCAGCAGAATCGAACACTGCACTGAGGTCTAACAGGACAAGCACAGAGATGAGTCCACTGTCAGAGGCCATAAGATCATTTCTAACCTTCACTAAAGCTGTTTTTGCACCTTGATAAGCTCTGAAATTTGACTGAAGTTCTTTAAATTAGCCATTCCTCTGCAGATGATCTGTTAGCTGTTTTACAACTACTCTTTCAAGAATTTTTGAGATAAAAGGAAGATGTGAAATATGCCTATAATTAGCTAACATAGCAGCATCAAGCTTGTGCCGGTTTAGCATGTACATTTTATAAGCTAAACCTAACTGCTACTCACCCTCTCAGTTTCTGTGGAAGCAGTAGGAGTGTACTTAGTTTTTCACATTATTGTAGCTGCTTTCCCCCCAAGCAGCTAATGTTAGAATGCTTGTTGTCTAATAGAATTAATACTAATGATCTTAACTAACTATAAAAAGTACAACAAACTCTCAGACAAATGAAGTCAGTTAGTTCACTTTGCTGGAGAGCAGGTGGGGTTTCTGACCTGTACTGCAGCTAGTCACATGACTTAATCAAAATATTTTGCCTTCACTTTTGGGAAGCTGTCATACAAATAAGCTATTCATACTGCTTTTACCCACTAAGGATACAATTCCAGCAGCCAGATGCAATGATGTAGAACTGCTGTCCAAATACTGAACATTACTGGGATATAGAACACTGAGGTGCATCAAAAAGCAAGATGTGAGAAGATGTGGGAGTAGGTAGGAGTTTCTCAAAGAATAAAAAATATAAATTTTACACTAAAAGATTTGATTTATTACTATTGGTGACACCAAAAGGTAATGCCCCATAAAAAAATGTTTAAATCTTTAGCAAGACACAAATTGGTACAGGTTTAAACAGTAAAGGACGCAGTCATGAGTTGACAGCAAAACCAGATGGTAAGTGGAAGCCCTCTGGTAAACCCCTGATCTAATATTTCAAATGAAAGCCTGGTGGAAACGGCTTGTCATAGACAAAATAATTTACAGTCATTACATTTTCTGTCTAATGGATTTTTGTAACATTCATCAGTGGATGAACATGACATGATGTAATAGTGGAACAACAGTGGGAAAGAAAGGCAAGTAAACAATGACTAGTTTGAGTTTTGGTGATATTTGATTTTTTTTTATGTTTGAGTTATATTTGGACATGATATTGTTAATAAAGAAGAGTGCTGGGAAATACTATAAAAATATCATTACACACTTGTGACTAATTTTCAGGACAGTAAAGATGTCATAGTAAATCCACAGATAACACAGCATGGATAAAGTCACGGTATATATATTTTACTTTACAAAGCGTTGATTTTTCACACATGGTTTGCTCCATCGAGTTTCATGACTTCAGTCCCAGGACTGTCCAGCCTTCTCAGGAGTATAGAGTTCACCAGCGAAACCTAATTACTCTGGGTAGAAACAGGCGGATATTTCTTTTACAAGAAAGGTTTTTCCAAAACAAAAAGTTTCTAAACAAGAAGAAAACTACAACTTCCTCTAATTTCTGATTGGGCAGAAGCATGCACAGAGCTTCCAAATGAAATATTTTTGTTTATTTATCTGGAATACGTTAACAACAAATTGGAATATTTATTCAGAATCAAACAAATTGATAAAAAGTTAAGAGCCATATGAGCATACTTGTTGCAAGAATTTTGGAAACTACAAATATGAAAACCAAAAATGGGTCAAAGTGCCCAAACAGACTCCAGAACAGATGTAATTATTCTGTGAGCTGCGGTGCATGAGTGGTCACTGCTAGTGCCATGAAAGGAGGTCAAACATCAGATGAGACCCTAGCCGACCCCTCCAACACACCACGCAGGGGATTTAACAAGGGAATCCAATTTACCCCCACTGAGCCCACTGCAACTTGTAAAAGTCAACAAGCTGTCACTCATATTTTCCTTCATCTCTCATCCACGGGCTCTTTTCCTCTCACCATCTCACTTGCACTTCACTTGCATTTCCTGCAGGAAGTCTTAATTGGTTTAAATACAGAAATAAATGCACACTCCTCTGTTTTAGCAAAGTCCAACAGCTTCCTTTGTGTGTGTGTGTGTAGGAACTCTCAAAATCAGGATTGTCAGACTCATCTTACATTGTCAATAACATACAGCCCTCTATGAATTTACGTAGGCCAGACCAGTGAAGCTTCTCTGTGTGTCAGTGTGAAGAAGTAAATTGCACATGTAATCTCTTAGACATATTAATAAATAAATTTTGATTTCTGTAGTAAATGTATCTGTTAGTATAATTCTTCTTAAGTTGTAAGAAATTAATGTGTAAAATTACAGAAAAAGTTGGTGTAGTATTAATAACCATGGGGGAGGTCATTATCAGCACGAAAAACTGTAAAGCCTATTAAAAATATAGTTAAAAGCCCAAAATCGATGCCCTTTTTCAAATGTTCTAAAACTCTGATTGGGGTCTTTCTGCCTGGTCGCTTCTGGCTCGCAGGCCTTATGTATGACACCCATGCCCTAGATCAAGGAGAGCCCTTTAAAGTGATTGTATGACAGTTTGCAAATCAAAGATAAGATATGACTCACCACACATGGATGTTGTTAAGTTTGACATATGTAGGTGGGGCTTAATCTGTTCCAAAAACTGCATTTGGTTAATTCGGTTAGGTACAGGGCAGATTGCATAAAGAAGAAGAGGGAT